GTTTTAGGTAGGCGTGGCTGACTCTTAACTTTTATAAAGAATATCTCTTTGGATTTGAGACTTTAGTCTTTGCAACTTTACAGATCTTCTTTATGCACCAAGAGCTTGTAACACTCTAAAGAGAAAGGAACAATTGAAATCGCATCATATGACCGCTTTAAACAACGTGGCGCAGGAGGTGAAAATGATAACTGCATCGGCTGAAACTAGCAAAAAATACTTGTCGCGCCGAGTGTATGATAGGGCCCTGTGTGTGTGTGTGTGTGTGTGTGTGTGGACTGCTACGATTTAAAAAGGGGAAGTCAGGTTACACCCACAGCACTGCTGATGAGACTCAGATGCTGGAGCTGCACAGTCAGGAGATCAGTGATTATCTCACACCATCTGCTGGAGACACCAGGATCTTCAGCTGATCTCAGGCCTGTGCTGGACCAACAGAAAACTAATCTGCCTGAAACTATCAGCAAACAGCACTATAATATCGTTTGTATATTATGTTAATATTATTAACATACTATTTATTCAACTAAATAAACGTAAAAGTCTTGTCATTTATGTATTCTGGTGGTGAGTGAGTGAATGAGTTTATGATGTATGAATGTCACCTTCAGATCTGATTCCTCTCGAGATGATTGGATTCTTTGTTTATATGGATTGAGCTGGTACAAACTGAACGTGTTTCTTTCAAAGCCTGTTGAGTGAATAATAATCATGATAAAATGTCAGAGAAACTCTGCTGTCCTACCAAACCCCAGCAGTCTCGGATAACACATGAGGTCATCACATTCCCAAACTACTAAAGCAAAACCTGTGCCTAAAACATTACTCTCCTCATCCGTCTGAAACTGGTGTCGCTGTAGGACAGTTACAGAAATGATTTTCAGAAAAAGTGATTTTTACTGCATGTTCATTTTCTCATCCAATTTTAAGAGCCGCTGCCTCAGAGATCATATCAGACATAATATTAAATATTACATATTAAAAAGTGACATCCCTGCTGAAGAAACAATAGAACCATCACAGAAAATTCTAATGGGTTCCTCTACAAATACCATTACAAACAATCAACTTTTAACCATTAAAAATGGTTTTCTGTAGCGTGTTTTGGGACATATTACATTAGGATTTATTGTTTTTTTTAAGCCACCGATAGAAGGTGACCAGTTACCAGTAGAGACCCACAGGGTCCATTACAGTCTCCATTAAAACCAATACAAGTCCCGTTATAACCAGTATAACCATTACAAATTCTGTGATTGTGTCTATTGTTTTTTTCAGCAGTGTTACAGTGATGTTGATCATAATGTGAGTGATTAGACTTGTTTGTAAGAAAACACAATGAGGCAAACTTCATAGTAAAAGTGTGTTTACATACAGACATCCTAACAAATTGGACGCATATTTATCATTGTTTTAATGAAGTTTCGCGGGCTGCTCGTGTTACCTGTACGCGCAGACACCTGTGCGCATGCGCGCTGTGTGATGTACCTGTTTGTGGGTGGAGTACTGATGATGATGATGACGAGGGGAGGAAGAGGAAAGCAGAGGAAACACAAACCGGACTCTGAGAGACGCAACTAAACGTTAAAGCTTCTTGGAGAAAATGCCGTTTTGACTGAGCTCTCTTCCGCCGCTTTCATCAGATTTACACACGCGCTGGTTTCGGTTCGTGGTTTCTGGAGTTTATCAGATCATCATGAGGAAGATGATCGTGTCTGCGCTGCTTCTGAGTCTCCTGACCCCAGGTGAGTCTGAGCTTCACACGAAACATCTCATACACACACGCATCTGTTCGTTTCACTGCCAGAAAGCCAATAATACAATGACTTTGTGAAGGTTGATCAATGGAAACAGATACAAGTGTCACCTGTGCGCGTCCGTATCGGTCACGTGACCTACTATTGTTGATACAAATAATCCAATTTTTAAAACTGTACAAACGTCGAAAGACTGATGGGATATACATGTGTAAAAATAACACTCAAGAATAAGAAAATATGGAATCTAGAGAAATAAAAAAAGAAAAGCAAATAAATAACATACAAATGCAGTGGTCATGACTGAAAGTTCATATGAAAAGCAAGAGATTCAAAGAAATGACGTTTCCACAAATATTTTGCTGAACATGTATCTATAAACATGTTAGACACTAATGCTGTATTTGTCTGGAACTAGTTAAGAATTTCCTGCTCTTTGTCTCATGACCAGTTTTACAGGTTTGGCAGCCTGTGTGTTTCTGTGTTAACTAACTCTCTCTGTCTCTGTCTCTCACTCAAACACACACAAACATTAACACACTTTCGCTTCCGTTCTTTCAGGGATTCTGTCTATCCAGGTCACCCTCTCTGAGACAGAGAAGCGCACGACTCTCTTCGCATCGGTCGTCTTGCGCTGTGATTACTCCACCTCCGCTCCGCTGCAGAATGTGGTGGTCACTTGGAGATACAAATCCTTCTGCAAAGACCCAGTTCTGGACTACTACTCCACAGGTAGAGCTTTAGCATCACATCATCTTCTGTTATGTCTGTGTGAGATGTGTGGAAGTGTTTCCGCTGTGATGGTGATGCATCAGAGCAAAAACTCTGTCATGAGTGGATTCATAAAGTGGTGGGGACAAAACAGAAATGCATTTGTGTTTGCAGATTCACCATCCAGATCTGTTGCCAGAGTAGAATTAGGAAAACGTATTTTGGATTGAACTTTGGATTACATGTTTAATACCAGAACTTTAATTAGCTGTTGTGACATTGTTGTCATCACATCAACACACCCCGTCCAGTGCTAATGTCCATGTGTTGCTGATGTTGTTGTGCTGCAGCGTACCAGTCGGCCCTTCAGTTGGGTCGAGACCCTGCCAATGACTGCTTGGACTCGCAACGCACCATCCGGACCGTGGTTCAGAAACTGGGATCCAACGAGGCAGTGCTGGGCAGCGAGTATAGAGATCGCAAAATCTACGTTCAGAACAGTGAGTGGATGCTTGACATGCTACGTTACTGCGACTAATAAGTCTGTACTTTTGTACTGCTTTATTGTCTGAGGAATGCTGCCGGACTAATAGTTGTGCATCTGACCTTCACAGACAGATGCGAATGTATGCCTACCTGAGCAATAGTGAACCAGAATCAAACTGGAGTGATAGTGAACTTATAGTGAACCAGAATCAAACCTGAGCGATTGTGATCTACGGTAAATTAGAATCAAACCTGCGTGATTAGTGAAGTATAATAAACTAGAATTGAACCTGAGCGATAGTGAACCAGAAACAAACCTGAGCAATAGTGAACTCCTAGTGAACCAGAAACAGAATTAAACCGGAGTGATAGTGAACTAGGCTATAGTAAACTAGAATCACACCTGAACTATAGTGAACTTATAGTGAACCAGAATCAAACCTGAGCAATTGTGAACTACAGTAAACTAGAATTGAACCTAAACGATAGTGAACCAGAATCAAACCTGAGTGATCGTGAACTGTAGTGAACCAGAATCAAACCTGAGCGATTGTGATCTACGGTAAGTTAGAATCAAACCTGAGTGATAGTGAACTAGAGTCAAACCTGAGTAATAGTAAACTATAATAAACTAGAATTGAACCTGAGCGATAGTGAACCAGAATCAAACCTGAGCAATAGTGAACTATAGTGAACCAGAATCAAACCGGAGTGATAGTGAACTATAGTGAATTAGAATCAAACCTGAACTATAGTGAACCAGAATCAAACCTGAGCAATAGTGAACTTATAGTGTACCAGAATCAAACCGGAGTGATAGTGAACTATAGTGAACTAGAATCAAACCTGAACTATAGTGAACCAGAATCAAACCTGAGCAATAGTGAACTTATAGTGTACCAGAATCAAACCGGAGTGATAGTGAACTATAATCAAACCTGAGCAATAGTGAACTTATAGTGAACCAGAATCAAACCGGAGTGATAGTGAACTATAGTGAACTAGAATCAAACCTGAACTATAGTGAACCAGAATCAAACCTGAGCAATAGTGAACTTATAGTGAACCAGAATCTAACCGGAGTGATAGTGATCTATTGTGAACCAGAATCAAACCAGAGTGATAGTGAACAAGAATCAAACCTGAGCAATAGTGAACTAGAATCAAACCTGAACTATAGTGAACTTATAGTGAACCAGAATCAAACCAGAGTGATAGTGAACAAGAATCAAACCTGAGCAATAGTGAACTTATAGTGAACCAGAATCAAACCAGAGTGATAGTGAACAAGAATCAAACCTGAGCAATAGTGAACTTATAGTGAACCAGAATCAAACCAGAGTGATAGTGAACTATAGTGAACCAGAATCAAACCTGAGCGATTGTGATCTATGGTAAATTAGAATCAAACCTAAGTGATAGTGGACTAGAGTCAAACCTGAGTAGTAGTGAACTATAATAAACTAGAATCAAACCTGAGTGATAGTGAAGTTATAGTGAACCAAAATCAAACCGGAGTGATAGTGAACTATAGTGAACTAGAATCAAACCTGAACTATAGTGAACCAGAATCAAACCTGAGCAATAGTGAACTAGAATCAAACCTGAACTATAGTGAGCTATAATAAGCTAGAATAAACTAGAATTGAACCTGAGCGATAGTGAACCAGAATCAAACCTGAGCAATAGTGAACTTATAGTGAACCAGATGCAGAATCAAACCGGAGTGATAGTGAACTAGGCTATAGTAAACTAGAATCAAAACTGAACTATAGTGAACTTATAGTGAACCAGAATCAAACCTGAGCGATTGTGAACTACAGTAAACTAGAATTGAACCTGAACGATAGTGAACCAGAATCAAACCTGAGCGATTGTGATCTACGGTAAATTAGAATCAAACCTGAGTGATAGTGAACTATAATAAACTAGAATTGAACCTGAGCGATAGTGAACCAGAATCAAACCTGAGCAATAGTGAACTATAGTGAACCAAAGTCAAACATGAGCAATAGTGACCTTATAGTGAACCAAAATCAAACCGGAGTGATAGTGAACTATAGTGAACTAGAATCAAACCTGAACTATAGTGAACCAGAATCAAACCTGAGCAATAGTGAACTAGAATCAAACCTGAACTATAGTGAGCTATAATAAGCTAGAATTGAACCTGAGCGATAGTGAACCAGAATCAAACCTGAGCAATAGTGAACTATAGTGAACCAGAATCAAACCTGAGCAATAGTGAATTATAGTGAGCTAGCATCAGCTCAGTTCAGTTCAGTTCAACTGAAACTCAGTTTCAGTAAATCAATATGAATAAAAAGTGCCTGCTAACTAGCTAATTTAGCTTTTTTTTTCACTACCGTAAAGTAGAGCTGGGTAATATATCGAATTAGAGACATTATTGTGATAATTGAATAATCAATATAAAATCATAGAACATCATTAATAGCGAATATTGTTGAAAATTAAGATTAATGTGCCAAATTTCACTCCTCCTGCAAACAAGCCAGGAAGTGTTTATGTGTTCCAGCAACTAGTTCCTGATCTGAAAGCGTTTTTAGCACCGGTGGGAACATTGTTTCGTGCCACAGAGTATCTCTTAAACCAGGAACTGCTGATAGACTTGTGTTCTTAGGTAAACTTGTGAAACACTTGCGTAATTTGTGAATAAAGTGTGAAATTTAGTATGTGAGTTACATTGCTCTAAAGAAGGTGTCAAAATAACCTAATTTGTGTTAATTTAATAAAAAGAAGTGGTCACTACATCTGCTTTTTTTTTAGCAGTGTATTTTGCACTAAACATTTTCAATAGCTGTTCTATCCAAATAATTTTTTTATTGGTGCAGAAGAAAATCACCTTTTTAATTATTCTAGAGCACAAGCAAAAATATTGAGGTATATACAAAATCTAGAAAAATATAAAATTTTAGTCCTACTGCAAAGTGAACTGATGGAGGCCTGACTAATCAATTTGGGGTTTTTTTGTCAGCAAATTTATTTTCCATGAATGATTGTTTATATAGATTAGTCATTGCAGTCCCAGTACAGATATTCCTGCGGTGATGACAGGCTCATTTTCTGTGTGTGTGTGCTGTCAGAGGCTGATCTGGTCATTCAGGAGGTGATGTGGTGGGATAATGGGATGTATTTCTGCGCTGTGGAAGCACCTGGAGACACAGGCGGAGATTCAGACCAAGAGATGAAGCTCATCGTGTACCGTAAGTGAATGACCTGATTACTAACACAGGAGTGTGTCCATTAAACACGGCAGAAGAAAAAACTTTTCACCTCAACAAGACTCCAGAGATCATGAATGTACAAACAGTCTGCTTATAATTGGGTCATTCCATGTCAATATTTACGGAGTTATCTTTAATACCTTTTGAGTCACAGGTCTGCAAACTTTGGAGAAAAGACTTGAAAAGTGCTCTTTCCTCATTTTTGAATGGTCACCATTGGCACATAATGCAACAAAGATTGCTAAAGTCAGCAGATTTTACTAACAGACCTACCAATCTCTGTGTAAAAGTAACATTATGATGCTGCCATCTTTCTGGAGTCATTTTTACCCTCCTGTAATTTGGCTCAGGTGAGATTCAGTGTCTCTATAGTTACAGCCTATAGAGACACTAATAAATCACCACGCATAATCTGTCAAATCACAAAACTTGAAGGAAGCAAAGCAAATGGCAGCTTTGTGCTGAATGCTTGTCTGTTCACCAGCTGCATGAACACACAGGATTAGGAGCAATCATAGAATAATCACATCAGAGAAATGACAAACACAACATCATATAAAGCAGCAGATGACTACACTGCAAAGAAATGCTTATCTTACTTAGTATTTTTGTCTTGTTTCTAGTCAAAATATCTAACAATTCTTAAATCGAGTTGCATGTACTAGAGAAGCAAAATGACGTAAGATTTAGTCTTGTTTCCGGTGGGGAAAAAACTAAATTAAGTGCATTTTGCTTAAAACATTTAAAATGATCTGACAGTGATGTAAGGAAATTACTCCTAAAACAAGATTATTTTTCTCACCCCACTAGAAGATATTTTTACTTGTTTTAAGCAAAATTCACTTCCCCCTGGAAACAAGACTAAATATCTTGTCATTTCGCTTCTCTAGTAAATGCATCTTGATTTAAGAATTTTTAGATATTTGGATTAGAAACAAGACAAAAATACTTGTCTGAAGAACTTGAGTGAAAACCCTGGACTGATGTGTGCAGATGAGCTGAATGTGTGTTTGGTTTGTTCTGTTAGACTGGCTGACGGTTCTCCTCATCATCCTCGGCACACTGATGCTCATCATCCTCTTGTGTATCTGCTGCTGTCAGTGCTGTCCGCAGAAGTGCTGCTGTTACGTGCGCTGCCCCTGCTGCCCAGAGACCTGCTGCTGCCCCGCAAAACGTTAGAACACACACTCTCTCTCACACACACACACACACACACCCCCTCTCTCTCTCTCTCTCTCTCACACACACACTCTCTCTCTCTCACACACACACACTCTCTCTCTCACACACACACACACACACTCGCACTCACATCCCACACACACACACAGCTTCTGTCACTGAACACAGAGCTAGAACACTCACTGTAATGCTCTGTTCTGTGTTCAGTGGTGATGCAGCACAGGCTGATGAAGGAGGCGCAGAAGGCCATGACTCCGTGGCTGAACGGACAGCCGATCTACGCACCGATGAGTAACCACAGCTCCTCGTACCAGATGAACCCCATGCTGTACGCAGGTCAGAATAAATGATGAGTTTCATGAATAAATGAGGAGGTGAATGGATGCTGTATCTAGACTTTAACCCTGTAAAGCCTGACAAAATAGTAGGAAAAAATCTTTTTTTTAATGAAAAAGTTATTGAACCTTTAGGCAAAATGTTTTTAAAAAGTTTGCATGTGTGTATTTGATCATCAGGTTTTCATGGCTCATATAGTGTTTTCACAAAAATAAATAAATGAACATAATTACCGAAAAAGGTGTAGGCCGAAGCCTTGCTTATTATGCCTACCCTTTATACATAATTAACTGATGGACGACACTTTTTCACTAAATTTGACAATCCAAGATAAACAAAAGTTACATAATACATTTCCCAAAATGTACATACATAATTCCAAACATACATAAATACAGAAATATACATTCCAGCTATTAATTCAATATTTAACTAACACATTCACAAATTATTGATACTGAGTCTGATTGATATAATTATTTATCGCCTTGTTTTTATACATTTTCTTAAATTTGCAAAATGAATTACATAATTTTAATTCCTTATTATATTTATTCCATAGATGTACCCCTTTGACAGATATACACCTATTTTTTGCATTAGTTCTTGCCCTTACTTTTTTAAACATATACATTCCTCTTAGATTATACTGACTTTCTCTTATTTTGAACAGCCTCTGAATACAATTTGGGAGTAAATTATTATAAACTTTGTTCATTATCTGTGCTGTATATAAATCAACTAAATCTGCAAATTTTAAAGCATGTAGTTTAAGAAACAATTAGTTTGTTGGTTTGTAATAATCACCCCGTTTAACAGTCCTCATAGCTTTCTTTTGTAACATGTATATTGTATTTATATTAGTTTTATATGTATGACCCCACACCTCCACACTGTAAGTAATGTATGGAAGCATGAGCGCACAATACAGTATTTATAAAGTAGAGACTCATAGATTTAGAGACTCAGACTGAGCAAAAATATGTAATTTCCTGCAGATGCTGATATTTATCTGATGAGATTCTGCTGCTTGTGATGTAAATCAGTGAGATCTTTATAACAGTACAGCAGAGACTGACATAAAATCATCTAAATATCAGCCGTTGCTCTATATCTCTATATCTATATGTCTCAGTAAGATGAGATTGAAATGATCCAAACATATAATGCAGTGATTAAAAAATGTGAAACAGGTTTAATAGTGAAGTTTTCTTAGTGTTTATCATTTAGAAGCCTTGGAGGACAAATTCAGATCAGATCAGATTTGATACAGCAGTTTAACATATTAACTTGACAAAAAATTACATTTCAGTGTGTGTGTTTTATAAATAAATATATATTCAAAAGCTCATTTGAGCACAGATTCCACTTGGTCCGTTATTTTGCAACTAAAGCTGTGAAATTTAGATCAAGTGTCCATTTTATTTTTCAGTTTATTTTTCTACTCTGTTTATTTGTGTACAGTGCTGGCCAAAATCATTAGAACACTAGTATTATCAGCAGCTAAAACATGGTTTTAAGTCAGTTATTTCTATCTTTTGCTGTAGTGTGTCAGTAGGAAATATCAGATTGCATTTCCAAACATTCATTTAGCCATTAATTGTAATAATGCAGTGAGATATATGTTTGTGCTGCACACAGAGATGTGATCTGATCATCATCAGTCTGTCTGGAGTCACATGAAGAAACAGAACAAACTGAGACAGACTCAATCCAGAAGAACTGTGTCTCCGAGACGCTTCTAGAAACCTGCTGCAAAGCTACAGAGCTGTTAACAGTTTGAGGCACTTTAATTCCTACTGACACACTACAGCAAAAGATAGAAATAACTGACTTAAAACCATGTTTTATCTGCTGAGAATACTAGTGTTCTGATTGTTTTGGCCAGCGCTGTACTGATCCGTCTGTGTTTTCAGGCTCCGCATCAGGCAAAGGTGGGATGACGCCGGTGCCTCTGCCGCCTCCACACATGGCAGCGATGCCTCCTCCCGGCGTTCACGGTAACGGCAGCGCTCACGGGACGTATCCGGTGCTGGAGTATCTGGAGAACCAGGTGCGGGGCATGGACGTCTCCAGCCCACTGCTCCAGCCGCAGCCCTCCATCCCACTGCAGCATCTTCCTCCTGCTCCCCAACACATGCCCCAGCGCGTGCCCTTCTCCGCCGGGCCCCCCAGCATGCTCTCCGCTCTGGACGACGGCCCCGTCTCCCGCAGGGCCCCGCCTGGCTCTCGAGGAGCCCGCTCCAGCGGCTCGTC